CCCCTCCCTGCCCCCACACGCGGGGAGCGGGCAAGGGGCGCTGCGCGGGTTTTGCGCGGGGGGTCCGGCGGGGGCGGAAGGGGGAGGCGCTGCACTCAGGGGGGACAGCGGGGGCCGCGGCGCGGGATTTGCGCGGCTCCCCGGCAGAGGGCGCTGCGCGGAATCTTGCGCGGCGATTCCTTCAGGGCCCGCTGCGCGGGATTTCGCGCCGTTCCCCAGCCGAGGACGCTGCGCGGCATTTTGCGCGGTGATTCCATCAGGGGGCGCCGCGCGGGTTTCGCGCGTTTATTCCGGCAGGGGGAGCTGCGCCGTTTTTACGCCGTTCCCCCAGCAGACGGCGCTGCGCGAGTTTTGCGCGGTGATCCCAGCGGAGGGCGCTGCGCAGGATTTGCCCCGTTCCCCAGCCGGGGGCGCTGCGCGGGTTTTACGGCGTCCCCCCAGCAGAGGGCGCTGCGCGGGGTTTGCGCGTTTGTTCCGGCAGGGGGCGCTGCGCCGGTTTTGCTCCATTTCCCCAGCAGGGGGCGCTGCGCCGGGTTTGCGCCGTTTCCCCAGCAGGGGGCGCCGCGCGGGTTTTGCGCGGAGATTCCGGCAGAGGGCGCTGCGCTGGTTTTGCGCGGTGCTTCCAGCAGAGGGCGCTGCGCGGGTTTTGCGCGGAGATTCCGGCAGAGGGCGCTGCGCTGGTTTTGCGCGGTGCTTCCAGCAGAGGGCGCTGCGCGGGTTTTGCGCGGAGATTCCGGCAGAGGGCGCTGCGCTGGTTTTGCGCGGTGCTTCCAGCAGAGGGCGCTGCGCGGGTTTTGCGTGGTGATTCCGGCAGAGGGCGGGTTTTGCGCGGTGATTCCGGCAGGGGGCGTTGCGCGGGTTTTGCGCGGTGATTCCAGCAGAGGGCGCTGCGCGGGTTTTGCGCGGCCCCCCGGCAGGGGCGCTGCGCGGGTCTTGCGCGGGCCGGGAAGATGGCGGTGCGGAAGAAGGACGGCGGCCCCAACGTCAAGTACTTCGAGGCCGCGGACACGGTGGCGCAGTTCGACAACGTGCGGCTCTGGCTGGGCAAGAACTACAAGAAGGTACGGCGGGGCGGGCCGGATCGGGCCCCCGGGGCTCCCCGCCCCCTCCCCAGCCCCAGCCCCAGCCCGGGGGGGGCGCATGGCCCCAGCCCTGCCCCTGCTGGGGGGGGTCCGGGAGGGGTCCCAGCCCCCAGCAGGGGGAGGCATCCCATCATGCCCCTGTGCCAGACAAAGCCCTGGCTGGTGACAGCTGGGGGGGAGGCATTTCTGTGCCCCCCCCGAGTGGGGGGGGCAGGTGACACCCCATGGCAGGGGCTCAGTGGTTCACACGTGTGTGCAAGGCATGACATGTGCGTGCAGGGCAGGCCCGGACTCCCGGCTGCCCCCTGACCCGCCCCCCGCCCCCCCAGTACATCCAGGCCGAGCCGCCCACCAACAAGTCCCTGTCCAGCCTGGTGGTGCAGCTGCTGCAGTTCCAGGAGGAGGTGTTTGGCAAGCACGTCAGCAACGCGCCGCTCACCAAGCTGCCCGTGAGTGCGGGGGTGCAGCGCGGCCCCCAGCCCCTCCAGCCCTGGACGGGTCCCTCCGCTTGGGGTGGGGGTCCCTGTGGCCTGGGGCTCTCCGCAGCCAGGGAGGGGAATCCCTGCGGCTGGGGCAGGGGGTCTTTGAGGCCAGGGCAGGGGTCCCTGCAGCCGGGTGGGGGTCCTTGTGGCCCAAGCAGAGTCCCTGTGACCGGGGCGGGGGTCTTTGAGGCTGGGCGGGGATCCCTGCAGCTGGGACAGCGCTCCGTGCAGCCCAAGTGGGGTCCCTATGGCCTGGGTGGGGGTCCCTGCAGCTTGGCAGGGGGCTTTGAGGTTGGCGCAGGGGTCCCTGGGGCTGGGTGGGGGTCCCTGCAGCCAGGGCAGAGTCCCTGTGGTTGGGGCAGGGGTCTTTGAGGCTGCCTTGTGGCCGGATGGGGGTCCCTAAAGCCAGGGCAGGGGTCTCTGCAGCTGGGTGGGGGTCCTTCTGGCCCAAGCAGGGTCCCTGCGGCCAGGGCAGGGATCTCTGTAGTAGGGTTCCTGCAGCTGGATGGGGGTCCCTACAGCTAGGGCAGGGTCCCTTCTGCTGAAGAAGGAGTCTTTGAGGCCAGGGCAGGGGTCCCTACAGCTGGGTAGGTGTCACTGTGGCCCAATCAGGGTCTCTGTGGCAAGGGCGGGGGTCTTTGAGGCTGGGTGGGGATCGCTGTGGTCCAGGCGTGCCTGTGGTCAGGTGGAAGTCCGTGCCGCCCAAGTGGGGTCCCTGCAGCTGGGCAAGGGTCTTTGAGGCCGGGGTGGGGGTCCCTGCAGCCCGGGAGTCTTTGAGGCAGGGATGGGGGTCCCGGCTCATGCCCCCTTCTCCGGCAGATAAAGTGCTTCTTGGACTTCAAGGCAGGCGGTGCCCTGTGCCACATCCTTGCTGCCGCCTACAAATTCAAGAGCGACCAAGGATGGTGAGATGTCCCGGCCCCGCGTCTGGCTGGGGCAGGGTGGGGCAGAGCTGGCGGGGGGGGGCGGTTCTGCCCA